CCCCTAAACCCTAAACCCTAACAATGAGGACCTAAAATTCGGGTCTCCTTTAGATGCAAGGGGTGGGTCTCCTTCTTCTTGTACTCCTTCCTCACTATAGGAATCAATGCCTTAGGTTTTTGGCTTTGCTTGAGGACACGGGTCTGAAACCCTTCGCTATCTATCATAATTTTCTTGCCAGAGGTGGATTGCTCATTTGAAGTAATCACATTAGTATCAGATTTTGATATAGCATTCAAACAAGAGGAATTAGCATGACCAAATATATGACACTTAGTGCACATAGGGGGTTTCCATTCATATTCAACACGAAGAGCATACATTGTCATAGCAAAAGTGTCCGGGTCCGGGACCCGGACTTTCACCTCATCAATCCAGATTGCTCTTGATAGGGACCCTGACAATGAGGACCTCCGTAAGGAGCACTGTGGGTATTTATCTGCCTATAATAGTGCGTGCCTCGATGAGGAGAGGTTCCTGAAGCAAAAATCCAAAATCCAATGGCTCCGTGAAGGAGATAAAAATTCTTCCTTTTTCCATGAATCGGTCAAGAGCCGTATCAGCCAGAATAATATTGACACCATCCAAAATGCTGACAGTATTTGGATTTCTAATGACGAGGTTCCTGGTCTCTTTGTCTCTCATATCCAAAACTTTCTTGGGACCCCTCATCCTTCTCTCCCCATCCGTGATCCCGCTTTTCTTTTCTCGAATAAGTTTAAAGGCGATCAAGCTGCCTCAATGCTTGTGCTTATCACCGACTCCGAGATCAAGCAGGCCCTTTTTCAGATGGGAGATGACAAGGCTCCTGGGATACTGTTGGCAGGGACCTGTGCTCTGCCGTTCGTGAGTTCTTCACGTCCAGCAAGCTCTTAAAGTCCATAAACATCACTATTCTTGCTCTCATCCCTAAGTCTGTCGCGCCTTCTCGGGTCACTGATTTCCTCCCCATTGCTTGCTGTAATGTCTTGTATAAAATCATAAGCAAGATTATCGCAGATCGGATCAAATATCATCTTCCCTCTCTGGTTGGTGTTAACCAGTCTGCTTTCATCCCGGGTCGGCTCATCACGGACAATGTCTTTCTCGTCCAGGAGCTCATGTGTGGCTATCATAAGCATCGGGGTCCTCCCCGCTGTGCCTTCAAAGTTGACATCCAAAAGGCTTATGATACTGTTGATTGGCATTTTCTCTGTACTGCCCTCTTCGGGTATGGCTTTCCCCTTCCCATGAGAAACTGGATTATGACATGTGTTTTCACTGCATCGTACTCGGTCAGTATTAATGGAAACCTCCATGGCTATTTCAAGGGAGGCCGTAGCTTGAGGCAGGGTGACCCTCTTTTCCCCTATCTCTTTACCTTGGTTATGGAGGTCCTCAACCTTCTGACCAAAAGAAAAATTAGTGAGACGGACACCTTTTCCTATCATCGCAATTGTGAGGAGTTGAAGATCACCCACCTTTGCTTTGTTGATGATCTCCTCATATTCTGCCATGGTGATAGTGATTTTGTCCATGTCATAAAGAATTCCATTGACGAGTTCTTTGGTGTGTCTGGCCTCTTTCCCAGTCCGACCAAGAGCGAGGCTTTCTATTATAATGTCGGCCAGCATACTAAGAGTACCATTCATTCTATCATTCAGTTCCCGGAGGGTTCCCTTCCGGTCCGTTATCTTGGTGTCCCCCTTATTACTACCCGCCTTTATCATCAGGATTGTAAAGGTCTTGTGAACAAAGTCAAATCCAAACTTCTTGATTGGAAAAACAAGTCCCTTTCCTTTGCCAGTAGGATGCAACTCATTCTTCGGTCTTGACCTCCATGCAAATCTATTGTGCCTCTATCTTTGTTCTTCCTGTTTCCATCTCTAAGGAGATTGAGCAGCTCATCCGGGGTTTCCTGTGGTGCCATGGTGAGCTTAAAAGAGGGAAAGTTAAGGTCTCTTGGAAGACCGTTTGCCTCCCGAAGTCTCAAGGTGGTCTTGGTATTAAGAGCCTTTCCAGTTGGAATCTTACCCTCATGGCCTCCCACACTTGGAGAATCCTTACCATTAAGGATTCTTTATGGGTTAAATGGATCCACTCCTATAGGCTTAAAGAGTGTAACTTTTGGGATGTCCCGATCCGCAGCGATGTTGGTTGGGGCTGGAGGAAGATCCTGGGCATGCGGGATAAGATTAGAGACTTCATTGTCTCCCAAATTGGTGATGGCACTTCCACATCCGCCTAGTATGATAACTCGCACCCTGTTGGTCTCCTCTACCGACAAATATCCTCCCGCAATATCATTAACTCTAATTTATCTCTCTCTCTCTCTTTCTCTGCTTCCGTTATGGATATCCTCTTCAGGGTATTTGGACTTGCCCTCTCCTGAGGATAGTCCCAACCCTTTAATCCGCAATTCCCCTCTTCCTGTCCTTTCCCCGACTGCCCCTGATGAACTCCTCTAGAGAACCAGGGATGGCCGTCTTACTTCGTTCTCCGTTCATGAGGTCTGGCTTTCCCTCTGTCCAAATGAGCCTGATGTCCCCTGGCATCATATGGTCTAGTATTCTCAAAATATTCCCAGACATGTGTTTATTCTGTGGGTTGCCCTCAAGCAACGTCTCAACACGCATGATAAGCTTCAGTTCTGGGAGGGCCACTCCAACCTGTCTTATGCGTTCCGTCAAAACGGGTCTGATTCGCATTCGCATCTTTTCTTTGAGTGTCCGTTTCCTAATCAGGTTTGGAATGACTTAAAGCCCAAGCTTAACCTCGTGGGTGTCCTGGATAATTGGGCTGATATTATTGGTATGTTCCAGCAAGCCACCAAAGGAAAGACCATCTGGTCTATTATTCATAGATTAGTGCTAGTTGGGACTGTCTACCACTTGTGGCATTGAAAGGAATAATCGCATCTTCAAAAATAAAAGATCGTATATTATGGTGGTGAAGACGATTACCGATGATGTCCGGTCCAGGCTCCTAAGCCTGACCTTCAAGCCCTCTCCTAATGTTGTCCGGGCTAGGCTTGCATGGAATCTCCCTTAGCTGCCTGTCTTTGTGTGCTGCCTTTCTGGTCTCGTGAGCTCCTTTGCTCTTTTGTTTTTCTTGGTGCGGTCTAGGATGTGCCGTTTTTAGGCCCTTTTTCCTGCCCTTGTGGTTTCCCCCACTGTTTCCCGGTCTTGGCTTGGCTGGGCCCTTCCCTTGTGGTTGGTTTCTTTCTTTCTATCTCTCTCTCTCTCTCTCTTTCTTTCTCTTCCCCCTTTCTTCCCTTCCTCTCTTTCCCCTCGGGGTGCCTTGGTTTTCCGGTGGTTGAGGTTTACCTCCCATCCGAGCGCGTTTTTGTCTTGCTTTTAGCCTTTTTTTCTTGATCTGGAGGAGTCTCCCTCCTTTCTATCAAAAAAACCCTAAACCCTAACCCCTAAACCCCAACCCCCAACCCCCAAGACGAAACCCGAAACCCTAAACCCTAAACCCTAAACCCTAAACCCTAAACCCCTAACCCCTAACTCCCTAAACCCCTAACCCCTAAACATTAACCCCTAACCCCCTAAACCCTAACCCCTAAACCTTAGAGTTTTAAATTTGAAGTTGTAAAAATTCTAAAATATTAAAATTTGAAGTTGACATATCACCCCTTTTTAATTCTATATTTTTTAAAATTTGAAGTTATATTCTAAAAATTTTAAATTTGCCACCCTTTTAATTTTCTTCCTTTTTTTCTCATTCCAACTTCTCCAAACCTTTAAAAATATAAAAACACATTAATGTAGTTCGTTTTTTACCATTTTAACTCATTAATGAGGGATGATTGATGGGAAATATATAATTGTAATTAAAACAATTGTTTGAATCGTATTTACAGAAACTTGTTGAGGAAGAGATTGAGAAGATTAAAAACGTTTCTGATGGCACTCCGAAATCTGTCGGGCCTCCAATTCGTTGCCCAATCGAAAAAGAAATATCAATCATCGAGCAAATTGTTGGTCCGTCGGTAGGTACGGTTGTTCGAGGTATGGGTAGCTTGGTGGTTCGACCTGCGAGGATGAGAGGACCGGCGAAGGGATTCTCTAACTGGTATCTGCATTTAACGAGGAAGATTTAAGGCAACACTTGCCGAGCAACACGAGAAGATTCGCTTGCTAAAAGAAGGACAACATGAGGCAAAAAAGGAAGCCACCAAGCAAAGAAAGATGATACAATCGTTGATGACTATGTTAGGTGCTAGTAATTTAAACTCTAACACAACAACCCCGACCTCTCACGCTTTAGGTTAAGTTTTTAATTTTGTGTTATTGAACTTATTGCTCACTTTTAGACTTATTTAGGAAAAAATTTATCTTTCAATTATTGAACTAAATTATAAAAGTTGTTTGTATAAAACATTTGGTTGTTTGTTTGCTTGTTTGAGATTCATTTGTAGAAAGTCTGCAAGAAAAAGACTGCATCATGGTACACAAAAATCTTAGGCAACAATTAAACAATATAAATGTTGCCTAAAAGAAATATTATATTATATTAATTACAACTCAAAAGCAACATATCTAAATAAAGTATGTTGTCTTAGTTGATATTTAAGACAACATATTCAGATAGAGTATGTTGTCTAAACTGATATCTAAGGCAACATATGAAGATAGAGTATATTGTATAGGCTGATACCTTACGCAACATATCTTTTTTACTTAGGCAACATAACATTTTGCGTGTTGCCTAAGAAGCTCGCTTAGGCAACATATGTTGCCTTGGTTCTTATGCAACATTGAGAAGGCAGTCTTAACCCTTATATATACCCCTAGATCCGGCACCAAGTGAGGTATATGGTTACGTACGTTTGGTATATTTATTCATTCAAACAAAAAAGAATTATATAATGTATGATATTGTGTTGGAAGATGAGTGGAAAGTTAGCTATAGCCTATAGTTATTATTATTAATTAATACATTAAGTAAGTAATATGAAAATTACGTACATGGTTTGAATAAAAGAAAACCAAGAGAATTAAGGCAGGTGATGATCATGTGGATGGGAGTTTGGCTCTGAGATCTTTTCTCAGAATCTTTCCTGATGGAGATTTGGGAATGGAGGTGACAAAGTACACCTTATGCAGTTTCTTGTAAAATACCACCTGCCAGCATGCACCTTCTTCAATCTTCATCTTGATTAATTAACCAACTATTAAGATTAAGCATTGAATGAAAAAAGGTATTCTTTAATTTACCTGCTTGGCGATGTAATCCTTGACAGCTTCTTCAGTGAGCTCCTGCATCCCATTCAACAGAACTACAAATGCAACCGGTACCTCCCCTGCAGCATCATCTTTTTGCCTGTTTTCGATCTTTTCTGTTAATCAAGAACCTACCTAGCTAGATGCACATTACTATTAATTTATTATATATTCTACTTACGGGACAACAGCAGCATCCGCAATACAAGGATGGCTCACGAGAAGGGCCTCCAGCTCTGCTGGTGGCACCTGCAGATCGATGAATGACATAAATATTTACACACGGATACGGTTATTTTGGTCGATCAATTATTCAACAGATGATGTACCTGGAAGCCTTTGAATTTTATGAGCTCCTTGACTCGATCCACAATGAAAACCTCATCATCATGGTCTACATACCCAATATCACCCGTGTGAAGCCAACCTTGTTCATCTATAGTCGCAGCTGTCGACTTGGCATCATTCAAGTATCCTGTATGACGATCATGTGTATTAATATTTAACTTATTATCAATTAATTAAAAATGGAATGAAAGGAAGGATACCTTTCATAATCTGAGGACCACGGATGCATATCTCACCAGGTTGGTTATATCCAAGAGAGTAATGGGTATCGAGGTCGATGACCTTGAGCTCAGCATTCCTGACAACACTCCCACAAGAACCCGACTTGGTGGCCAAAGGTTGTTTAGCGAACGCTGCACTCATGGACAAAACGGGTCCTGCTTCCGTCATCCCGTAGCCCTGCAGTCTTGCATATATATATTTTAATCGCAGCTAGGTTATGTGTAAATTAATTAATCATCTTTGATAAATAATTCAGGAATTAGACATTCCTTGAATTAAAAAGTGATTTAGCAAGAGAAAACACAAAAGTTAGGAGTATGGTAGATTAAGGAGAGGAGACATCATGCAAATGGAATGGAGGTACAAGAGATGCTTTATGTGTATTGCATTTATTAAAAGAACCTGGTTGTTTTAAAATGCAACTCCTCTATCTGTAAATTAGATGTTCGTTTAACCAACAAAACCTACTTAATGTTTTGAATGGAAAAACACAAAACCACCATCAACTAATCTGTTAAATGTGATGAAAAATACTATAACCAAAAATTTCTGCCTTATTTGATATAAATTGATTTACGATCTATAGTTTTAACTGGATAATAATAAAGATAAGACATGGAATAAGGGAAAAGTGTGCAAAAGCAGGTGAACAGATTCCCAAGCAAGCCAAGTTTGTGGAACACTTTTTCTCCTTAGTGTTATTATTATATAATTTCTCTTAAAATCGTTAACCTTTGAGCTAATCAGAAACTACTTCTTAACCAAAAAAAGAAAAACTTGGAGTGTGGTTTGTCATTTCTACAGGCAAGTGATGACACGCACAACCTCCTTATTCCTCCCTCATTCACACGCCAAAAAGTGCAACCATTTTATTTTTCTTTTTATTTCTATTTCTATTTCTATTATTAAAGTACGTAAATGGAAAAGCGCGCAACTTACCTGACCGAAAATTGCCTGGGGGACTCTACTTCTGAGACCATCTTCCAGCTCCTTCCCCAGCGGCGCCGCCCCTGACAACACCACCCTTATCGAGCTCAAGTCGTAGCTCCCTACCATCGGATTCTTAGCCAAAGCCAGCACCAGCGGCGGCACAACCGCCGCCACCGTCACCCTATACCTTTGTATCAGATCCAGTAACGATCTTATCTCAAACTTGGGCATGAGTACCACCGCGGCTCCTGCTCTCAGCGAACACAATAGCACCGAATTTAGAGAATATATATGAAACAGCGGTAGCACGCATAAAACCACGTCGTCCTGCTTTAGATAAAGGTTTGGGTTTTCTCCGTCGACTTGTTGTGCGACGCTGGTGATCAAGCTCTTGTGCGTCAAGATCACACCTTTTGGTAAACCTGTCGTTCCCGACGAAAATGGTAACGCCACCGCATCGTCCGGATCAATTGTGACAGAGGGTATATTGTTTTCGTCCGTTTTCCAAAGGACAGAGAAATGTAGGCACTTTTCTGGAGGCTCGTCAACGGTGATAACCGGGAAATCTTGGCCCATTTTAGGGTTGTGTTCACCTGGATCACGAAGCTTGTCGACGTACTGGGCCTGGGTGATTATCATCTTGGAATTGGAAGAATTGAATTGCTTGAAGATTTCACCGGCAGTGTACAAGGGATTGGCGGCAGTGGTGATGGCGCCAATCATGGAAGCGGCCATGAAAGTTAGCGCGAATTCGGCGCAATTCTGGAGGAGGAGCATGATGACATCACCCTTGGTGATACCGAGGGTGGATAATCCGGCGGCAATTTTGCGAGAGAGAAAGTGGGTTTGGGAAAAAGAGTAAGTGGTACCGGTGGAACCGACAACGAGACATGGTCTGTCGGAGAATCGAGAAAGATTCTCGAAACAATAGGTATGAAGAGGTATGTGGTTTGGTATGTTGGGCAAGTCTGGTAACTTTGATCTAAAAACAACGTGTCTACTAGAATCGTCATCGACATTATGATTATGAGTATGATTAATATTATTATTACAAGTAGAGGCAGATGATGAAGAAGTAACGAGTGGTGGAGGTGGAGGTGTTTCTGGTTTTTGAGCTTCAATAGACAACATGGTGATGATGGTTTTTGTGTGTGATGGGGGGTTTCTTGTAATTTGTTTTTCTTACCAGAAATCTTCTGGACTTGTGTTGTAAAATATGGGATAAAGTTGTGAAAGTAGAAGAGGAGATGCAAGAGGGTGATTGCGTTGGTTCAACTATAAATTAAGAGCGAATGAATAGAATAAATTACGATTTTCGTCCCTTGGTTTGTTAAAACTTGGTTTTGAATTTATTTTTCTTTTCTTTCTCATTTTTAAAACTAACTTGGTTAGAAAAAAGAAAGAAACTTTTTTATAATTTTTTTAAATTAGAGAATTAAAACATAATTTTTTTAATAATAATTATATCTAATTTTGACATATTCTTTATTTTAGAGATTTTAATATTCTTTAATTCATCATCTTAATACACTTTTTTTAATTTTATAAAAAAAAATAACTCAATCTCATTGGAAGAATTGAATAAAATAATTATTTTTGTCTCCAACTCAAGTTTTAGAGAATTCTGTATATTCAAACTATGTTTGACAAATTAACTGATAAACTAATTAGTAGTTGATAAGCTAATTGGAAAATGTAAAATGATTATAACGGACATGTTTAAAAATTAATAAAATTTAATATTTTATAGTATATTTAAAATAATTTAATAATAATGTAGTATGCTAATTAATACAAATACAAGTTTTAGAAAATATTTAAGGTAAATAACCATTACATATGATAT